GTTAGCAATGTTACTGTAACGAAAGTATGGAAAAAGCACGGTTACAAGAATTTTAAATATTCGAAAACGCAGCAACTTTATCCAGACGATTACTTTCCAAGAATGGAGTTTTGTGAAACTCTAATAACGAAGGCTAATAGTGAACCAAATTTTATTAAAAACATTTTATTCACTGATGAATCTTCTGTTTCGTTAGTAGGAAGACACAATCCTTCCATTACGAGGTATTGGGGGCGGGAAAACCAGCACAGAAGTGTTGTTTACCGAACTCAACGTCCTCAAAAAGTTAACGTCTGGACTGGCATTTTAGGAGACCACATAATAGGTCCATTTTTTATTGAGGGCAACTTGAACAGTAGAGTATATCTCGATTTGTTACAGAATCATGTTCTTCCCGCTATTCTCAATCTTCCTGATGTAAATCTGGAGAATGTTTGGTTTCATCAAGACGGCTGTTCAGTTCACAACGCTCGAATTATTAGGGAGTATTAAACAATACTTTCCCGAATCGAGTTATCAGTGGAACAGGCGATATTAAGTGGCCTGCGCTATCTCCAGATCTTACAACCATGTACTTCTTTTTTTGGGGACATTTAAAAAGCATTATCTACGCTCATCCTGAGGCTAGAGCCCAAAATTTGAATGAATTAAAAAAATCGAATAAAAGAAGTCTCCAATTCTGTTACAGCAGAAACTCTTTCATCTGTTCGCAGAAGTTTTTATGACAGATTGGGGTACTGTTCAGCCGTAGAAGGTCAACCATTTGAACCATTTCTGTAGGTCATAAAGAATTATTTTTTATTTTATTAGGAATAATATTTTAATTTTCAATAAGAGTATATTTTTTATTTTATCTTTTTAAAGAAATACGCTTTTATTTTTAATTCAACCACAAAAAAATTTTCACATTAATAAAAATCGATAACAATGCACCGATTTCCTACTATTAAAATCGGCTTTACGTAATGAAAACATGAGATCGGACGACAGAGAAGTACATCCCTAACGTTGTTGTGAGTTACTAAACTAAAATAAATGATTTTCTGTCGGTGTAGATTTTCGGGTCGGAGAACGAACATTTGCAACGTTGCCGATTTTAGCGCTCCGTATAGTGTGCAATACCTAATCAAAAACTTAACGCACTGTATATCCCACAAATGTCAAATGCGATATAACATCACAAACTTGGATTTTTATGGACAAAATGTTTAGTTAAAACGTCCATATCCTCAAAATATAAAAATCAAATTAAACACGATAAATGTTACGTCATTACTAAAAGACAAAGTTAGTCGTTCCAGGCTGTGTAAATATCTTCATCTTAGGGTGCCATATTCCTAGGGAACGTAAGTGACTACCATGCTTATAATATTCTTACATTGATCTTGGTGTATGGCTACCAGTACCAATTATTCTGTTGTTCAATCTGTTCATTGTCATAAATTTCTCAACTAGGAGAGTTTCTTCCACTCTACTCACCTCTTTCATGGTAGGTCTTCTCATTATATGTCCACGATATTCCACATAGTTTACATGTCTTTAATAGAGATTGTAGGTGTCCCTATATCTTCGATTCTGGTTCATGATATTTTGAGTTTTCTTCGATACCACCACCTATCAAATACTTCTATTTTATTCCTGTTCACCGTTTAAAGTCCAAGTTTCAGATCCATATAAAAGTGCAAGCCATACATAGCACCTTGCAAACTTTTCACGGTTTTCAAATTCAGTGAGTTACTGGATAATAAAGGTCTTAATTTTTAAAATTTGCTTCTTGCGTATTCAATTCGATATCTGATTTCGAAGACCGTATCTAAATTTTGGTTGATTTGTGGTGATTTTGACACGGTATTTCTACTCTTTCTAGCGTTAGTGTAAATATATGATGTATTAAAATCCACGTTTATTTTCGTTACTTTTGTAGAACTTGTTGAGATACGAATAATTTATCGACAGAATCTCCCCAAATGCATCACTCAAGCCAGTGTGTGTCTTAAAAAAGAATATAGACGATTATAATAATGACGGCATCCTCAGTTTCGACTGTAAATAAAACAATATTTGTAACCCGGTCAATAGAGTCGCTGATACAAATAGATCATTTGCGTTTAGGTGGCGCTTGCGGCAGAGATTGGTATTAAAACATAACCTTATTTTATACTGCCATTTATTTACATTGTTTGGTACTCGTTTCCTAGTTGGTATAAAATTTTGTTACTGATTTAGGTCCTGAGACAAAGTGTCTACGAGGACTTGTTGATAGCAACTGATTGAAATGACAATATTGACATATTAGGACGGAAGTCGGAACAAAGCAGTCAGTGTAACTTAAGGTCTAAATTGACAGAAGCCAGCAATATTTAAAATTGAATAAGTTAAAATTACGTAACATAACAGTAGCAACTATCAATGTTGTAGTTTGTATTGTGAATTTATCCTAAATTTATGTTAAGAACATTGAAAAAATTGTTTTATTAATTAATGTAGAATTAGGTAGACTAATGTAGAATAGAATGTAATGTAAAATTTTGTGGGCACTGAGAGGCAACCAACTATACATAAGTCTAAATCAAGTGGTTGTAAACAAAAGATTTTAACAAAAGGCCCTTTATGTTTTGCAACATTTGGTACCTAGAAAATGGAAAAACAGATGTGGGAAGTTGGGTTCTTTAAACTTTATTGTTAAGCAGTGAAATAGTAAATGAGTAATGTATTTGAAAGCGCTATAATATTTTTGTAATGTAATGTTCATGTAGTACTAAACTTACAACTTAAGCATGGAAGGGCCTCTATGTTAAAAAGCAACATTTGGTACCTGGTAAATATAAGAGATTTTTAAGTTACAAGTTCATGAACATAAATAACTAATTCGGTGTTGAAGAATAAAGTTGGTTGGTTGTTTTTGTGTGTTAACAAATATACATGACAACCAGAAAATTGATGGCTGAAAGGTTGGTTTGTAATGTATTGTTCATACATTACTCAACTGAAGTTTTACGAACCTTCTGGTTCGTGAGAAAATTGAATTGCCAACTTCATCAGTGACTTCTCTGATTAATATTAGACGGCCGTTCATAACCATTTCTGTCACTTTTTACGTTGTCATCGGTTCTTGATGTGCTTCGGGCGTCTCGATCATCTTCAACGTCTTCATAGCCATCTTGGAATCGCTTATAGCATTCGTAAATACTTGTTTTTTTTTTCGTAGCATGTTTACCATAGGTCTTTATTAACATTTCACATACTTTGTTTTTCTTTCAACTTTTTCTTAAACAAATGGAAATAAGCGAGCTCATAAAAACCATCGAACCTTAGCGGCTGTCACAGACAAGGTAAACCATGAATATAGCTGCAAATTGTTTTATACTTTAGGAGCATGTATACCAACATAATAAAAAAAAATTGACGATTGGGCTCTCAAAACCCACGAAAATTTTGAGTTATTTTTGAATAGACCTCGAATATAGTTACGTATATAAAACGTTTTCCAGTAATAAGATGAAATCCTTTGAAATGAAAGTATCTTTACATCAACGTCGTTGATGTTCGAGGTTGGAAAATGATGCCAGATATACGTTTATACTCCGATGTTGCCATATATCAAAACTTACCTTTTATAGTATAAATGGCGATGATGAACGTCACAAATAGGAAAACGAATAATCATTCAAAAAAAGCACAATCATTTAATCGTAAATATAGACATAAAGTGTTTTCCTGCCATGCGTTTGAGTCAGTGTGTTAGTGACAAAACGAAATGTGCAAAACAGATATACAGATAAGAACAAAAACAATGTTTAATAAAATAATAATCATTCAGACATGTTTTAATTAATATTGATAACTGTCTCTAAACGATTTTAATAAATTTAGTAAGCAGTAAACTATAAAAGTTTTGTACACCTACTAATAATATTTCACCATACAGGATCTCCCAATTTTTTATCTGTTTTACTTCACAGGTGATTATTCTAAGCTTCATTTATGACAATTATTAGATTGCATCGCAGTTATGTTATTTTTGACACTCGTTCTAATTCAGTGTTGTTTATGTCTTATTCTTAATGTCTTATTTAGTTTCTTGCTGATAATGGTCTTATTCTCTAGTAGATGAACAAGGCGGGTTCTGAGATAGGAAGTGTCCAAGGTCACATCTGTGCCTAAACGGCTCGTCCGATCGTGGCATTCGACGTAAAACGTGACATTTGACGTAAAACGTGACATTTGATGTAAAACGTGACATTTAGCCGTAAAAAGTGACATTTGACGCCAAATGTCACGTTTTACGTCAAATGTCACATAAAAATGTCACGTTACTACCGTAGAACCCTTCCAATATTAAGTGAATCAGAAATACTATTCTCCATTTTGATTTGAACTGTTTTTGTTTATCAAATGTTTCACATAACTTCTAAGTTTTTTCAGCAATTTCGCGTATCTGGAAGTATTAGTTGGTGTTATCTGCTACTAATACAGAAATTTAATACAATAATTGAGAACGCTTGTGATTTCTTTTAATGTTTTTGAAACTTGTATATTGTTTCAATGGTTTGCTTTCTTCCGAACGGTGGCAGCCATTAGCAATCTTGACGTATACCTTCAGTGTTAAAATCAAAGATATTGTGACCTTTGAAAATGGTATTATTGTCTTGTTTTCTCCTTGAGTTTTAGTTTCTGTATAAGACCATTATGACAAATATGATCGAAGACCATGACATGACCATGATCAGGTTAGTTACAATGTCTGAACGATTCATATGAGTTAATTCTTAAAAAAAGGTTCACAGAACAACAGACCCACCAAATGATCAATGTCTACTAAAAATAAATATATTAAGTATATAGAATACAATATAAACTGGGATAAAATATATATTTTAAAATATAGTAACAATAAATCATAATAAAAAAATATTATTTTGTACACAATAACTTATAAAAATAAAATAGTTAAAAGTAAGGAATTTTTTTATATCCACGAGTCTGTTTTTTCCATGTACCTTTTTACATTAAAGTCCGTATCATACCTAATGTGGTTCTGGAGTTCATTATAGTTGACGTAATGAGTAAATGGAACTGAGTCGGTGATGCCTGATCTACTTCCTGGTCTTCCATACTCTACGTAAGCATTTGATGGATCTATCCTCTAAAAAATAAAATTATATCGTTAGCAAAGATATAGTAAATATAAAACAATTGCACGACGGTTACCCACTACAGGAATGTAAACAGGTTCGGTGACCATGAAACATCAATTGACAGATGACAGGTATGCTTAAAAATGACATTATTTTCAGTTCAAGAAAGTGGTTAACTGAGTTTTGAATACATTATTTCCTTTTTTTATTTATTTTTATTTTTGCCGTATTTTCTAAATAGCAAAAGACATACAAAATTATGAAAATGTAAGGTTATTATTAGGAGAGGCCTAGGAGAGACAAGGAGAGAATGTACACGTTTAAATTTCCCGGGAAAAATATGATTAGCGACTTCACTGAACTGCTAAAAGAATCGTTAGAAATAAGGTTTCGTGTGTACCTTCGCAGCCTTCGCAATGGTGATCGCCAACGTCGGATAGTTCTGATATGGCACGCGAAGAAGAAGTGTACCGAGTGAGAACTCTAGAAAAAAATTATTGAATATTTTGTGTTTTTGGTAAGTACTATGTACACTTCGCTCGCGAACATCTTAATTGGGGTGTTGGCGATTTATAGTGCTGTGCTTTTCACGGATGAATCAATATTTAACAGATACTCATCAGATGGGCGGCCTATAATATGGATAAGAGCTAGTGAACGTTATCAGCAATGTTGTTTTACTCCGAGAGATCAGTTCGGTATAGGTGGTATAAGGGTGTGGGCAGGCATTTCCCTAGACGCTCATACAGAACTTGTTACGATTCAAGGGGACAATTAGAACACTCAACGGTATATTCAACAATGTTTGGAAGATCATGTATAGCCATTTATCCCATTTGTTGCAGAAAACTTTCGTCTGGTGCAAAATCTATTTGAGGAAACTTTAAAGGGAAAAAATATAGTCGGAAATAAGAAAAAGAAAGAAGTTAGGAAGAAAATCCTGCAGGAGGAATCATCGGACTCCGAGAGTGATGAAGTAGAGTACAACGATAAATCTTCAGATGATAGTTTCGAATTAGAAGAAGAAAGGCAAAATACAGAAATTTCTAAGGGCGATTACATTGTCACCAAAGTTTTTGGAAAAAAACGTGTTGGAAATTTTGTGGCAGTAGTTGATAATGATCAACCAGATTGTGAGGTCAGATTCTAAAAGAAAAATATGCCATCAAATAGATTCAGTTTCACTTCTGAGCCTACAGCTACAGTGAGTGTTACTGACATTGTAGTAGTTCTACCCCGCCAATTAAAGATAATAGAGCAAGATATGAGGGAATGATTATTTTAATACAGATTTACTGTTTCTACAATGTTTTAGTTTTCTTAAAAATGAAAGGTTGTTTTTAAAAATTGTCCCTTATCTGCTTAATGGTTGGCCATAGTCTCCTTGAGGGTGAGGAGACTATGGACAGAAGCACCTCTGCGAGTTATTCTCTCCCATAATGACTGCAATCATTTCAACACTGAAAAATTGCCTAGAATTTAGTAATATGTATTGTATTTGGTAAAATATAGTATGCGCCTAAATTAATTTTCTAATCCTTGTTTTGATAATAGGTATATCTAAAATCTGTCCAAAGTCTCCCAGGCCTCCCTATCTATAATTTCATCCATAGACATACAATACAAATAGACTGAGCGTCTGCAATACAGGCCCATTTTCGCAGTGCGGTAGAAAAACCTGATGCAAAGTGGTCCCTACATCTCTTTTAATGGGCCGTGTTTATCGACCACGTGACCTTCCCATTGGTCATTTAGCTTATCAATTTAGAAATCAATTAAAAAATATACGAAACGAATAGTCATTTATTAGTGATAAGGTTACGATAGAATTTCTGCACCAATATTTTATTATTGTAGTACGAGTATTTACCTGTGGTTGCTGGTGCCGTGTATCATACACGTCTCTTTCATCGCTTTGATAATAGGTATGTCTTTGGGTCATTCTCTGTTTATGCGCTTCCCTATCATGCCTTCTATGTTCCGATGAATTTTGCCTATATTTAACAGGAGGAGCTACCGCATTTTCTGGAATGACCTGGAAGAAAAAGTTGATATTTAACTAATTGATTTAGAAAAAAACACAGAAGTTAAAACACTTCACAATTGTGTATTTTGGTATAAAAACATACAAGTACTTAAAAACGTTTTAAAAAAGTGTCGTCAACATTTAAAATTATGGCAGAACGTTTTCAATCTCTATAGATCATCTTCAGTGCCTTTGGTATTTGATGCTAACAATATGGTGTCTATAAGACTTCCATGTGTTGGTTTAAAAATTTATCACATTTTACATTTAATAATGTTGAGAGTCTAGGTCGATGACAATGGAATTGGTTTTAAATTAAAATTTACTTTAGGGACTACATGTCTCTTAAGCTCGAATACTTGCACGTGGTACTTGTCAGTTGAAACGAGAGGTCTGTGTCGTACGTTTCAACTGACAAGTACCACGTGCAACGACGACACAGACCTCTCGTTTCAACTGACAAGTACCACGTGCAAGTATTCGAGCTTAAGAGACAGTAGTCCCTAAAGTAAATTTTAATTTAAAACCAATTCCATTGTCATCGACCTAGACTCTCAACATTATTAAATGTAAAATGTGATAAATTTTTAAACCAACACATGGAAGTCTTATAGACACCATATTGTTAGCATCAAATACCAAAGGCACTGAAGATGATCTATAGAGATTGAAAACGTTCTGCCATAATTTTAAATGTTGACGACACTTTTTTAAAAAGTTTTTAAGTACTTGAATGTTTTTATACCAAAATACACAATTGTGAAGTGTTTTAACTTCTGTGTTTTTTTAAACGATGGTCTACAGCCAATTACGGGGTTTTTCCCATTAATTTTTTAATTGATTTAGCTTACCAGAGTGACAGCATTGACATAATGCCAACGAATGCATAACTTGAAGGATCTGAGAGGTATACATAAAGTCCATGAATATAAAACATTTAAAACAAACGTGGTTTAGAATCTCAAACATATATTTTAAGCAGCATCCAGGGAGTGATATTCAAGAGTTATTTCAATAGATGGTTTAGTGACATCAAATGCCATTAACAAAAAAATATATTTACGTTAGTATGAAACGATATTATGTTTATGAGACTTATCTATTCTAAACTATATACTTTGGTCATTCGAACCAAATGACTTTATCATTTAGAATAGCTTGTGGACATTATCAATTTTTATCCGAAATATTAACAACATATTGACCACCTCATATTTATTTTGACTAAAACCGTCGTATTTTTAAATACTATATGACAAAGGTGAGTGGTACCGCGACCTTGACCACCAAGAAGTACGCGTGGTTATTTTTTTCACTCTGTTGAGCGGCATTGCCGGCTAGTTGTTGTTTTTCGCTATAATTCCTTCTAAAATGTTTATGCCTGAGTAATTTCATCCTTTGTATAAAATTAAATTATCAATAAAATATAGAGATTCTTACCTGGACTTGTTCAGCGTGCCTGTGTAAGTAACCATGCCTTTGATACAGCGGCTCCCGTATAATATGTTGCTGTTCTCTATGTCCATGAGACGAACTCTGTTGGGAATGGTGTAAGTTCTGGTTTGTTGTAGGCGAAGAACGACTTTGAGAATGAGAACCTTGCGCCTGGGATGCCATATGAGAGCTTTGTGATTGATGGGGAACGTTCTGGGAAGGGTGATGTGTCGTCGATGACTGATGAGAGCTCTGCGCATGCGAATTCGGATAATGCGAGTTCTGGGACTGATGTGACGATTGGGAAGAATTATGCGAACTCTGCGAGTGGTGCGAGTTCTGTGAACCTTGTGACTGGTGGTGAGAACCTTGGGTAGTATTTTGGTTCTGGGAGTTGCTATTTTGAGGTACTTTTTGTGAATTCTCTTGCGTTCGTTCTGTTTGACTGCTTTGCGTCCTGTTTTCGGTATCGGCGGGGTGTTGTTGAGGTACGTTGGCGTTTGAATCGAATTCATTTGTGTGGTGATAGTGTTGGGCAGACTCTGCTGCTTGGAAGTCTAGTTTACGATGTTTGCCAAACCTGTACAAAAAAACATCATGAATATATAATAGCTCTAGTAGTATGTGAATTCCTTTTAGTTATTTGCATGTCTTGACTAACGTCAAAAGTTGTTTCATTACCATTTTTAAGGCAGTATTATCAATCAATCTATCAATATATTATAGTACATGTCAAGTACTGTTTGATGTTGCAATTATAGTAGATCAGAGTTGTAAACATTTTTTTACACTTTAAAAGACTTTCTTGTACCATACATTTTTTATTTCATCTAATATTTCAGTTTTATTAAAAGTTTAAAAATATAAAGCATTGTTTTAAAATTACTTTATATTGTAAATAAGTGATTTTTAACTTTTCTTTACCTGAACATTGAACCAATGCCTTTAAATATACCGGGTTTCTTCTTTGCTGACTTATTTTTTATATCAATAGCTGCATTCAGAGAAGATTGCCTAGGAGCTCCTCGTATATTGGTAAAGCCATCCACTTCTCGTTCGTTTTCCATTGGACCGTCCAGTAACCAATGCTTTTTGGCGACCTAAAAGTAAAACAAAGGTAAAAAACGTTACAAATTTTTTATTTCACTAGTAAAAATGTAAATAAATTGCATGGTAATATATTTAACTAATATTATATTTTTACCAATCTCACTTCGGTGATTTGGATCCACTACAGCTGCCCTAAAGCTTTCTTCACAGCCTTTCCCCCTGATCACTTTTAAAGCTCCATTTGGACCTCTATAACTATAAGCTGGGTCGCCTTCTTCTTGCATTTGAATCTAGAAAGAAATACATTATCGATTGAAAAACATGTTGTTTTGTTTAAACAATAAAGTCACAGAAATATTCTATAATACAATAACAGCCAAAAAAAGTGCGCAAATGGTTGAACAGTGCAATCATCTTTTGAACGATTGTAAGATGTAGAACAAAGAGTAAGGGAGGAGTCTTACATCTGCTCTACAGACAATGATCAGTATTTGTTCACGTGTAATTGTTTAGGCGCACTTTTGCTTGGCGTCGAATTATAGTGACCTAGCATAAAATTAAATGAAATTTTTTCATTGATTGTATTAAATGGCATACTAGAAACAAAAATTCTTACCTCTTGTACCATTGTCTGTAACGATTCCAAGCTTGAAGATTTCTTCATACCTAAACTTGGTCCTAATTGGCCTAATTTATCAGCATCTATCGAAAAAAACGTGCAATTGATTTAAAAGTTCTGTAATTTGTTGAAACTGAGAAGGCAATTCGGTAGAAATTGTAGATCAAACTTAATTTTTGTTTCTCTATTTGGAGATTGTTTTCCAAGTCTAGTCCAAGTCCATTGAAATAAATATTTTAAATTTATATATTATACATTTAAATTTATCATATTATAGATCTTTCACGTTTATCTACACAATCATAGGTCCCATTCTAAACTTTAAGATGTTTCTTAAATTGCTGATTTTGTAATAAATTAACATTTTTATTAATACACTTTGATTATTACAACGAGAGTCGTGGGAGCTTGTCTTTTCAATGACACTTTTTGAGGTGACGACGGCCTAGATGGAAGCTAAATCTAGTTTTAGTCGCATACTCAGGTTTCTAATAAAGTATAATGAAGATATGCGGAGCTCTGGAGAAAGTGAACACCAATTTCCTAGCTTATCATAGAACAAGAATCGATCAAGAACAAACAAAAACCGCGACGAAACTCAGCATGCATCATCATTCAATCTTCGCTTGTCCACTGTTGGACATAGATCTCCCTCTTCGGTGATATGGTGTCTCTCTGACGTACTCCACGAAGTATCGGGAATTTCTGAGCTTAACAATCACCCACTCTAATACTAGCTCTTGCGTTTTGGTATATATGTTTAATTTTATTTATCTACCGATAGTCAATTCGGCATCATGTCAAGGCTTTTAACATTTTTTGTTGATTTATGTTGTCAAAGACCTTTTCATAATCCATAAATATTAAAGCTAGTGATAAAGCTAGTAGCAATAAAACTATAAGTAGCAATAAAACAATCAAGAAACATTAATACAAACGAACTTTTTTAACGCAAGATCCACCCTTGCTGTTAATTCTATCACGTGCGTTATACGAATTATTTGATAGTCTCATAGTTATTTTGTGCGTCTTCTGGGATGTTTTGGAGGATTTCGACAGCCTTACCTCGAAGTGCTAATATGAGAGCTGTTGCCTTCTGTTCAGATGTCCATCCATTACTTTGTGCAGCACCTTCGAATTGTCTTCTATACAATGGTCAGGTGGTCTCGCTGTCAAATATAGGGCGCTTAATTATTCTGTTGACAGGCGAACAAATCAATTTTGTCTTACATTTAACTCTCAGTTGCGTGATCTTTTCAATTCCTAGGCGGATGTTTTCAAGGGTTCTCGTTATTTCATCGCGTCTTTTTCCTACTAGACTTTTTGTTACTTCAACTTTTTTAATTATATCTTCTTTTGTTTATTCGATTTCTATTTTCATATCTTCTTTTGCCTCTTCTATTTCTCTTTTCACATCTTCTTTACTCACGTTTGAGACTTCTATTTTAGAGGCTTCGAGGATAAAAGACTCATGAGCAACTCTCTGCCTTCTTTATGATGGTTCTGTTAAGCATCTTTTTCTTCCTGAGGACGGTTCTCTTCAACTTCTTTTTCTTCCTGACGGCGTCTTTCTTCAGCTTCTTGTCGACATTTTTCTTTTTCTTCATGCCGTTATTCGTCAGCCTCTTTTTCTTCTAGACGACGTTGTTCCATTGCTGCAATCGTTTCCCGAAATTCCTTCATCTTGGTCTCGTTTCTTGTTTTTACCATATAAATTCTGTACATCCTTTTGTTGGTCGTAACACTTCTGCAGCAGTACTTGTAATGAAAACAAGGCCTCTCTGGTCCCCATTCCGGCTCTGAATCCAAATTGATCGTATCCAACTTCTTTTTCACACCTTTTGTATACCCTATGTGAAGTATTTTTAATAGAATTTTAAGCATTTGGCTCATAAGACTTATTAATCTAAAATCTGCGCATCGCCTGGAGTTAGCTTGTTTTGGAATGGGAATAAAAATAGATTCTAACCATTCCTCTGGTATTTCCCCAGTATCGTAGATTGTATTAAACAAAATTACTAACAAATCAATGTTATTACTTTCGATCAATTTAAGTATTTCAGGATAAACTTCATCAGGTCCAGGGCTTTTATTGGTCTTTAATTGTTTAATGCATATTCCACTTCGACTTTTAGAATTGGTGGGCTTTCAGTAACATATTTATTGTAATGTCTATTCTTTCATCTCGGAACAGCTGTTGTATAAATTTTTCCCATTCTTCTATTTTATCTTTGGTGTTATGAATTAACTCTCCGTTGTTATTTACCAGTGGGCAATGTTGTTTTTTGCGGATGAATGAAAATTCTTTCACTTCTTGTACATATTAAAGTAATCATGTCTTTGTTCTAATTCTTCTATTTCTTTACATTTTTCTTCGAGCCATTCGAGCCGACCAACAAAAGGATGTCTTTCTATGTTTTGTAGACTTTGAAAAGGCATTTGATCGCATAAACCATAATAAAATGTTAAATTCCTTGCAGAGCATCAACTTGGATAGCAAAGATCTCCGATTAATTAAGAACTTATATTGAAGGCAATAAAGGAGTAAAGCAAGGATGCATACTATCCCTATGCTGTTCAATCTTTAACTCGGAACTACTATTCAAGCAAGCCTTGGAAAACCTTTCCACAGGAATAAAAATTAATGGAGAACCAATATCTAACATAAGATATGCAGATGACACTGTCCTACTGGCTGATACAGACACAAACTTACAGAGGGTTATAGACCACCTTAAGGATGCTTGTCGAGAGTTTGGAATGAAGATCAACGAAAAAAAAAACAAAAGTAATGGTGATCCAAAGAAAACAGAATATCCCCTTACCTATAAAAATAAATGGGAATATTTTAGAACAGGTAAACCAATACAAATACCTTGGCTGTTGGATTAATTGCAAGCTGGACCCAGAACAAGAAATTAAAGCGAGAATTGCTCAAGCTAGGGATAGTTTCTTTAAGATGCGCGTTCTATTCTGCGATACACATATAAATATTAAATTGAGATTAAAACTTGTAAAATGTTTTATCTGGTCTGTTCTTCTCTACGGAGTCGAAACATGGACTTTAAAAATAAAGAGCCTGAATAGAATCGAGGCATTTGAAATGTGGGTGTACCGTAGAATTTTAAAAATTCCTTGGACAGCACGAAAAACAAATGAAGAAGTACTAGCTAGACTCAATTTAGAAAAAGAACTATTGAGAACAGTCAAAAGAAGAAAAACCAGTTATTTAGGGCATTTGTTGCGCAACGAGAAATACTACATCCCTCAGTTGATAATAAAAAGCAAAATAGAAGGAAAGCGAGGAATTGGAAGAAAAAAATTGTCCTGGTTACGTAATATCAGAAACTGGACAGGACTTGGATTTGAGGAACTCTTAAGAACAGCTGAAGATAGACAAACGTTTGCCACCATAACCGCTAACCTCCATTGATGGAGACGGCACTTGAAGAAGAAGAAATTCTGGACAATAACTACTTTCACCTAATTCCACTATCTTCTGGCACCAATTGTTACGTTTTTCTGCGGGTTCAGAAATTAAGTGAAATACGTAGTTTTAAAAACTAATTTTCTTTATATATAATATAACAACGGATTGATTACGGCTGTCGCCGCTTCTCCGCCCACAATTTCCATGTTTTTCTGTCATATGCAGTTGCCTCTTCTAAGTCTCTTGCCGCCATTCCTTTATCAATATGGTTGCGCCAACTTCTCCGTGGTCGTCCTCTCTTTCTTCTTCAGGAGGGATCCATTCCAGTACTCTTCTAGGCCATCTGTACTCTGGCATTCTTTTAACATGTCCGAACCAGATTAATTGCTTTCTTTCTATGTCATCATTGATATTTCGCTCCATTTTCATTTCGTTTCTTATTTGTTCGTTTCTAACTCTCTCCAGTTTGGATCTACCGCAGCTTCGTCTCAGATAATCCATTTCTGTCGTCATAAGTGTGTTTCTAAGAAACAAACTTATGACTTAATTTTATTTAAACTTTCAAATATAAAAAACAAACTAAATCACTATATAAATAACAAATGTGTCATTAATAATTATTGTATATCACTTTGCAAGGTAAACACTTCGTCTTAAATAATTAGATAGTAATTTCTAGATTTTGCGTGTCTATTACACTAAAGCTTAGGCTAGTTAAGCATTTATATAACGTCAGGTAGAATTTTCGAGATATTACAGGACCGTAGGTATAGTCATATAACTTAAAAAATCTTAAAATTTATGAAGAACTATTCATAGACGTTCTTTTGATCTCATGCTGTATAGCGACCGTACATGTTTTTTTATAACTTTAAATTTTTGTTTATCTTGTTTTACTGTTTGATCATCAATGTCTACCGATTTCCTATCTCTAAATACTAGAGGATAGAATGACAAATGATAAAATGAAAGGAATGCTTACACTCGGGATGTTCTGAAGATCTATTAACACTTATGACAGACTCCACTGAACCTACACGGACTAAGCCAGCTGTTGGGTAAGATGAGAAAACACATACTATTAGCACATTTACTTAAACTAGCGATTTGTTAATTACATGATTTATTGGAAGAACGAAAAAACGAATTGCACTTCTAAAAGATTTATGATCCTCTTTTCAATACATTGCAACAAATCCGGCTGAAATCAGGATAGGTTTCCTTTTATAAACGGAAAAAACCTTACCTGAATTTATTCATTTAAGAAGATTGCAAGCGCTATTTGTTAATATTCAAAGGGTCATTTGCAAAACTTCGCGTGAATCATTAAAACAAATTAGTGCAAACAGTTGAATACATATAAAAGTGAATGTTAAATATTAAATAATACTCATACAGATCGACGGAAAGGGTTGCTCATCGTGAGCGTTGCCTTTCTGATCGATAATTCGGGATTTTCGGGAGAAACAAATTGACGGGAAGAACGCTTGTCGCGTATAGTGAATCTTAGTTTGTTTTAAAAAAATACATGACAGTTACTTGGCAATTAATTCGTTTTTTCGTTTTTGCTACTATAATGACACACACAATTGGCATAACAAAGCAGTTTAACTTACTTATTTCTTTCATCTTCCTCTCCTCCCTAATCTTCTTCGATTTCTGATATGTATCGGTATTCTTGGCATCCAACGTTGCATGTCTTTTCTCTGACATACTCTGCCTTCCAAAAGCATCTCTAGAAAATCCTTTGGGATTCTCTAGAGACAATTGGCTGGCGTACGTTGCGTCTGTGCACTGAATTGTCGTTTGTGACGAAGTATCTGTACTTTTATCACCGTTGCTGCCTGATAAAGTGGTCTTGTTGTCCTTACCGTCGGGTTCGTGTTCGGTTCGAATGTCGGATATGTTCGTTGGGACTTTGTTAGTAATATGAACATTGATTCTAAAAGAAAACACAAACATTTGTTAATTGATTATTCGTTTTGTTTTGTTTGTGGTTTACTTACTGTTGTTGATGTTGATTAGAGTGGGTTAGTACCCTGGATCCATACTCGTCTTCTATTAAAATAGGTTCAGCGGTGGCGATATTTACAGTAGTACCAGACATGTTGCCAAATGAGTTATTTCCAAGCATGCTACTCGTCCAAGTGTCGTGAGTAGCCTAAAACAATTTTTATTGTCGTTATTAAATTTGTTTTTATGAACTACACATATAGATAACTTATTGGTTAGATCATGTATAACCATAGACATATAATACAAATAGGCTGCAATATAATCGCGTTCCCCCAGTGCGACAGAGAAAACTGACGCATAGCAGTATTTGCATCTGTTTCTAATTTGCCAGGTTTATCGACCACGTGACCTAAGTGACCAATGAGAAGGTCACGTGGTCGATAAGCCTAGCCCATTAGAAAGAGATGCGGGAGTGCTTGGCGTCAGTTTTCTCTGTCACACTGACGGGCTGGTATTGCAACAATCAGTCTTCTTCTTCTTCTTCTTTGGGTGCCGTGTCCGTATTCAGACGTTGGCCGTCATCATGTTTACAATTTCCTGAAACCTTTCTCTATCAGCTGCTGCGCGAAGTAATTCTTCTACTGTGGAACCACACCATTGTCTAATATTACGCAGCCATGAAAGATTTCAACAATCAGTCTATCTTGTATTATATGTCTATGTGCATAACCACTTTTTAATAAAAAATTATTAAGTGTAATTTAAATGTAAATTTCACAACCTATTTAATTACGGGTTTTTTTCGATGACTTGATAAAATAAGAGGAAGAGAAAATATTATTAAAAGAATTATTAAATTAAATATATTATTAAAAGAAGAAGAAAAATCGAGAGACAAAAAGAACACTATTTTACACAAATAAAAAAAGACGAATTGACAGATGGAAAAATGATAGTTATCATGAGAGCAACACCACAGCCACTATTTAAGTCTTTTCATCGTTTTATGTGAAAAGCCACGTTCACAGAAAAGAAAAAAGAATCTACAGAGGGAAGAGAAAACTATTGTACAAGAAGAAAAGAAGACGAATTGACAGACGGAAAAATGGCAGTTAACATGAGAGGTGACATGACAGGGACATCATTTGTCATGACCTGCGGATAATAGCTGAACTATGACAGTCGCTAATGCAGATTTCTTATTTGAAATGTGTCTATAATTAATTAATTTTTACTAAAAATGGCGTACGATTTGCGGTCTCTCCAACACACACACATCTGCTGCTCGTCTTATCACTCTTACACATATAGATTATGGCCTTTCAAATTTCCCCACATCTACTGAAATTGTGACGTCAGATCCTATCCTTTGCATATAATTAACGTTACAGTTTCCCCAGACTGCATTCGGATTTCCTTAGTCTATCTACTTCTATTTTTTGTTCTTTTATACGTATTTATACTCTTATAGAGAGAACTATAGAGTATAATAAAACACTGGTATTAATATTTTTGCATTAGAGACAGGATTTAATAGAGTCAACCAAAATAAGATGCTTGAAGTTTTAGCAGGTTGTAGAATAGACAACTGAAAACCTAGAAACTACAAAACCATATCCATACCGAACATAAATAAAAACGCAACAGTAAGTGTTCCAGGTAAGGGTTCCATGAAGATACTAAGAAAATTCGAATTCCGGCTTCAACAACCTCTACCGCTTCTTGAAAGATATCCTCAGGGTATATGTTAAGCAGCAAGGGTGATAGTATAGATCTTGTAACGGTGTTCTGATCGTTTAACAGTTCGAACCATGGTAGTGTCGATATTTGCGCATCCACTTCTACAACGAGACGACGAGGTGGGATTCGGAGCGGCTATTTAAGGCGAGTGACTGGCGGAATTAGATAGTCTTGTAGCTAGCGCTCTAGGCTCTCTGACTCGCCGTGTAGTGAACCTGCGAGCCAACCCAGACAGAGAGATTTCCGTATTGAGGATCATACTCTTGTCCTTAACCAAGCATATGTTGCGAGTGCGTTCGGAGCTTCCGCTAAATTGAAGCAGGAATAAGTCTGCGTGCGTTCGACTTTACGTATTTCATGTCTTTGTTAGTAATAATATTTTTTCTTTATAGACGTTCGCCGGGGAGTTCATTCATCGCGGGATCCAGACGAGGACGTAGAATTCATTTTATTTTTATTGATTGTATATATGCTAAATTGATAGATTTATTTTTATTTCAACCTGTGTTTTACTGAGTCTGTCGCCCCGAAAGAGCTATCCGTCACAATCTCTGTCGGACCCCACGTTTGATTTTAATCATCGGATTCTCCTGCCTCTGCACGGATAGATGATGTTTGATTCCAATAAATATTGCTAATAATTCTTCCATCACAGGTGTTTATTCTAATATTTGTTAATATCTCCATCAGCTTGTCTTGTTTTACTGTCTAGAATGCTTTATGGCAATCAATGAAGCATGCATATATATCACTTGTATGATAAAGACAGCCTGTCTCGTACCCACTGCGTTCCGAAAATCAAACTGTGTACGGCTGATTTTTTCTTCGCATAGTCTATATATCCTTTGATGTATGATTTTTAAAAATAGCTTTAAAATGTGGCTCATTAAGCTAATGGTCCGGAAATCATTGTAGGATACGGATTTTGTTTTCTTTGGTACAGCAATAAACGTTGACTTCAGCCATGATCTTGGTATTACTGAAAAAAACATGGAAAGAGTTATAACAAATTGGAAATGGTTAAGGAAAAATGGACATTGGACAATCCCGGATGGACTGGAGAAGAAGACTCGTGAAAAGACATAGTGCTATATATTATGTAAGTAAAAAATCTAATAACAACTAATAGTTAACAGAATACCAACTATAGCCAAGCTGTAGAGGTTACGAATAAAAACTCAAATAAATAGAGGAATGCAATATCAACAATAAAAGATCCTGTGAATATGTCTCTATATTAGAAAAAAGGAAATAAACACTAAAATGACGTATTTATACTCATTTACCTTGTAATAACTCTCATTCCGCAACTGTTGTTGTTGAAACTTTCCGTTACCGGTCAATCGTTCCAAAACAGGGTTCCACGTATGCATCGGACTTAATTGACTGTTGAGCTGCCCATTGAGCTGGGTATTAACTTGAGCTTTGTTGTCGGAAATATTGCCCATGCCTCCATGTGGATTGAATATTACCGTGTTTGCGGAATCACCACTGTTGCCGGAATTATTTACAGATTCGCTTTTTTCTTGAGAGTCGCCAGTAGAATTGCTAGAAACGATTAATTATTAACACATTATAAAATACTAGAATTTTTTTCTTTCACTTACCCCAAAATACTATCAAGAGAATTCTTCCTACTGCTATTATTTGGCGATTCTACTCGTCGAGCTATCGTTAAAGTAATGTGACCCGGGACAGGTCCTTCAGTATGCGGAATGGCATTCTTCAGAGTCTCCATAGCATCGCTGTTGGTCTGCTGCAGCAAAGATATGCCGTTGACATTGAGCAATTGGTCGTTAGTACGTAGTCTGTTGTCTCTGGAAGCAGCTCCGCCACACATAACTCCTTTTATGAAGATACCGAGGTCTTTGGTGCCGCTGGTTTTACCTTTCACGCTTACACCCAAACCGGCCTTTTCGGAGTCGTGCACGGGGATGTTGAAGGTTAGTATTTCGCGGTGTTTCCATGGGAACACCATAGTTTCGTCTATTTGGTCGGAAGGCTACAATTTACATAAAGCACAAATTTTATTTCATTGTCAAATATCTTTAGAGTGTGTAAATATTAGTAAGTTATGTTTATTAAATAAGCTTTAATACAAAAAGGCAAGTAAAAGTATATATTTATGAAAAATTATTTACTATTTTATGGTTTAGAAAAGGTTAGATACAAGAAAATGGAACATTAAGTCGTATTAATGAAAAATTTCTTAGTATATTAGACAATTATATCTAAAATGAAAATAATAAACATAAATAAAAAGATGGATATTTACACAATACAACAAAGAAGCTGTTAAATAATCAAAAAACACTCTGTATGTAACAGGTACAAGACCTAAGGACAAGAACTGAGCGGTGGCAAATACTGCAAAGCGTAATGGTACCTGACAAGTAGATCAAGTACAAGGTAATCATAAATTTTTTTCACAATTGTGTATAATAGGTAGAAACTGTTTTTCATTTTTTATTAGTTCGATAAGGCTGCGAACCAACCGAGAGTTCGACTCTTTCCCAGGCGTTTTCTTGACTTAGAACCTTTACCCCTTGCGTGGGGGAGGCAGACTCGTCGTTCCATAAATAGGACACCGTCATATTACCCTATCAGTCCTGCCAACATGATTAGAATATTTCCCAACGCGTGTTGCGAAACATCAATTTTTTACTCTTGTTACAACAAAAGCGCATTTCTAATTCCCGTCACGAATTTTTTGCACGACATTTGTTGCAACGGTAAGTATAACAGAAGGGAAGTGGTTACTCTTTTGCGCTAATAATTGTATTGAGTAGTACCTATAGATGGTTTTTATTCCTCATAATGAAATTGTAAAGTCCCTTACAAAGATATCAAACAATTGAATGATAAATGGAAGAGAATAATATAGCTAGTTTCAAATACAGTTTGAGTAAATAAGAGAAAAGATTTCTGAGCTATGAGTAACGGACTGTACACCACAAAGTAATAAATCAAGGGATAGATGGAGCAGATGAAAGTGGATATACAAAGAGAGAGATAAAATGAAAATGACAGAGATAAAAAGATAGAAATAATTTAAAATAAAAAATAAAGCAGATAAGATTCATACAAGAATCAAAAACACACCACAATCAAAAATACACCAGAATTAGTAAAAGAAGACTCATAATATTTACGAAGGCGGTCTGATAAGTACTTAGCCTTCAGAAGAAAAACCAAAATTGTGGAAAAGTGGATTTATTTCTCAACATAGTCTTCTTTTAGCTCAATACAATTGACCCAGCGATACACTAACTTCTGAGGTTGCAAAGTAGATCTCTCTGGCGTAGATGGCCTCCTCATTCGACTCAAATTTCTGCCCGGCGAGTCGCACGGGGCCAAATCTGCAGATTGTGGTGGATAGGGCAGCAATTTGGAGCAAAATTCGATTAATTTGGTCGTGGCGACAATGTGATATGAGTCGGTGTGTTGTCATGGTGTAAAAGCACTTTTTCTTCTCCAGTTTTTATGTAATTTGACGTTGAATCGAGACAATAATTCGGCCCAATAATAGTAGAGCTCTGTGATCGTTGTGCCCTTCTTCATGTAGTTTATGTACATCACACTTTGTGAATCCAAGAAAACGGTGGCCCTCACCTTTCCAGCCGTTATAAATGGGGGCAAATGGGGCCATTATTTCTGTAATTCGCTTGTAAGAGCACGTTTGCCGGGTGAAGGTCTCTTTCGACTGTTCATTGTTCTTTCGTGTGTACCAGTGGATGCATGTTTTATCATCAGTCACAAAACGACACAGAAACTCATTCGGATGGGGCCTAAACAGCGTCAAATACTACACAGAAGTAATCTCACGGTTGCGCTTCTTGTCTGGAGTGGGCAAACACGGTACCCATCGCTCAAGAGCTTGCTCATGACCAAAATTCCATGCTGGATATACCCCTTGCGGTCTTTTGAGATGCCTGCTGTCGGCTATCTCGAGCACTTTCAATCGACAGTCTGCCACTACGAGATCGTCGATTTTTGTCACGTTACCTCCGTTATACCTACCTAGGACGTGGGACCACATTGAAACTCGCTAAACCAATTTTTGACAATCATTAAAGAAGAAGAATTACCGTACACAGCATCAAAGTGCTCTTTCTTTGATTCGGATTTAACCCAAAAACAGGAATCAACACCGATATTGCTCTTTTTCCATTTTTCTAAAATCAGCGGACACGCCCGCTTTCACAAGTGGTCCAGGGTTGTCACGTGAAAATTTTTGTCCTCCCTAAATTGAACATTGAAATATCCTTAGAGATCCCTTGATTAGAGTAATATATATGTATATATTATATAAGGTTGCCTAATTCTGAATAATGAATGAATGATGAGACGTATTGACGGTTGCCTAAAGCTGGTTACTGACGATGAGCATACTATAATAGATATATATATATATATTATATATATATATATTATATATAACATATCATATATTACATCTCATATCGCTCACTATAGTAATGAGTGAGCCTACACACGAAACTACTAATTGGTAAAAGTTTTTTTTTAATAATACCAGTCTCTCATTTTCTCATTTTTTCACGAATGGTAAGGAGCATTATCGAGAACTATTACATAGTTGTCTTCTAAAAGGGGCAAATATTTGGAAACCATTTTTCAAAGTCGTCGAAGTTCATTTCCTCGTTATAGTTGCCACTCTTTTTTGATTCAAACATTTATATGCCTCCTCTACAAAGCCTGTTTCACTCTTAATATCTGTAATAATCAGTCGTTTTCCCAGGCTAGATGGATTTTTGAGACCTGACAAAAACGCCTGCCTGGAAGATTTCACCATTTCGTCGACACACACATGAGATTTTGTATATCTGCATTTACTCACGTTTTATCTAAATAATAGGTTTTCCTGCCGAAATTTTTTAATGGATTTTAAAAAATTTCGCATCTATGAAACAATCTCTTCTCGCTATAAAGCATCGTTTCTACTCCTACGTACGTATCTAAAATCCATAATTTTAGAAATTTATGGAAAGTTCTTCGTTTAAAATTTGGCAAGCTTTCTGTTTAACTATTTCAGAAATTAAAGCTTCAGGACGCGATTTCATTGTCGATGTATAAATAACGCATTTTTCCGTACTATTAAATGCACGTAATTTTGACCGCTTTTTTTGAGTAAATTTTTCCGCATATCTGTAAACAGTGTTCTTCAACTGCGAGTTCGATTCGACCGAAAGTTTGACCAAAGAATAAAGACGCTTATAGAAGAACAGTTCAAATGGCGATTTGGTTAGGGTTTACACTTTAAAACACATCTGGCAGTCGGCTTAAACTATCTCATAAAAGATGTAGTTAGGGGAAAGTGGGAAAGGAGTACGAACGGAGCTATTTATTTAACTTTGCATCTACGATTAAAAAAAATCCCATGCTTTTTTTGTTTTTTTTTTCACAATAAAATCTTTATTTTTAATATATTAAATTGTTAAATTTTGAATTTTGAAATTTAAAAAGGTATGATATTTACAATATTCAAAGCATTTATCAAACGAATAGCATTTGAAACCGTCACATAAATTTTTATTATACTGTTTTTCTGCCCAAAAATTAACGAAATATTTTTTAAAATATTTCGTTAATTTTGGGTTAATTCAACCAAAAATTTGATTTTCTCAGGACTTTTCATTAAACTTTTTAGACATTTTTCCATTATTCTGCAGAAAAAACAGTGTTGTGTTTTACATTTTATGTTATTTTATATTAAAAACAAAGAAGAAATTATTAATTTAGAAAATTTGGAAATATTTAATTCCGGTGATTGATGACTTTATTGGTTGAATTAATTTTATAGTTAATAAGAAGAGAGTTCTTCTTATTAACTATAATATTATTTGTAGATTTGTACCTATTTAAATTAAAAATTCGAATCATAATATTTTTTCTAATAGGATTCATTTATTAAAAGTTAAAATATTATCATTTTCTTTAAAAAATGTTATAAAACGCAAAAATTTAATCCTATTCTACGGTCACGCGGCATTATACATAAAAATATCTGTTGCATTTGTTGCCCCACTCTTTCATATTTTAAAAGCAATAATAGCGCTGACATGACCGCTCCCTTCTCGATCCACCCTCTCATTCTTTTTCATAACGTGCGATCATCTTTTGCCAACTTTCAAACATAACAGTGAAAGATTCTTCTATAAGCGTCTATATTCTTTGGTTTGACATTAGCCGCCAGAGAGAATCTACATGATAGTAAATTTCGGTTGCGATAGTGGCGCCATCGGGCGGTTAGGCTAATTACTTATCGGACCGCCGGTTATCGTATTGTCAAAACTAACTACATTATGAAAAAGCTACAGTCTGAACGATAACTGATCATTATTTGTCTATCTTAGACAAATAGACACTATGAAATGCTGCTGATATAATATTCATAAAATTTAAACCTTAAATTAAAGCAAGCTACAAAGCATACTTTTTGTAAGCATACATTAACACATACTATTTGCGGTATTTGCAAAACTAGCTGGTGCATTCTATAATAATTTAAGATTCGCACTTCCAGATTCTCTCAGAATACTGTATTATTATTATTACTAACCACTGATTAATTTTTCATGAAAATACTGTCCTCAAATTAATATTTATATAACGGATTCTATTCATATTATCAAATTATTTATATAAACCAGCGATCTATACTCTGTGCGAATCTTAAAACAATATAAACAAATAAAAAACAATAATTACATTGCCGTTGACAGCGTCCTGGAACTGCGATATGATTTTTGCTACTGATCCCTTTTCGGGGGTGCGATTTTGAAGCGCTTGAAGATGACTTTGCGGTAGCGGTGGAATGGTGGGTGGTATATCTTCTGGAGATTCCTCCTCGCGGACTTCTTTCAAGTCGACATCCTAAGTGACAAAGACAAAACAATAGGCTAAAGATAGGACTACACTTTTGCGAGCAAAACATACAAGCAAATTCTTTAATTGTTTAGAATTTAATTTTTTAAAGTGATTGATTCAACCGTTACTTGATGTACATTCATTTTATCTAACAATAAAATATTGTTTTTAACACTTCCACATTTTTTTTACTTTAACGATATTGTAATTGTATAAATTTAAAATAAATTAACTTAACCTAACATAACCTAACAAAAATTAATCTCAAAAAGATATACACCTGTACAAACTACAATTTATCCTAAATTCGAAGAATATCCTTCAAAAATTTTTGAAACAATTTAAGCAAACAGAATATAAACAACCAGATAATGTCCAATTGAACAACAATAAGTCAACATGGGACTGAAAAAAAGGACTGAAAATAAATTTCAGCAAAACTAAACTAATGTCAAACAAAGATGTCAAACCTATGATAAACATCCAAGGGACAGAGATAGAACACGTAGATGAATAACATATCTGGATCAAAATGTCAAGGTAAGCAAAGAAAATCGGACTACCGAAATTGGCAAACGTATAAAAATGGGATGAGCAGCATTTGGAAGACTCTAAACCTGGGCATTCACTAAAATAAACATGGAGAAGATCAGAAAAACTCAGAGAACTCATAAATCCAAATGAAGATATTCGTAATAGAAGAAAAGTAAAAGATGCTGTCTAACAGGCAGCTAAACTGAAGTGGAAATGGGCTGGACATAACGAATGTCTTAAAAGGATGACCAATGGGATAAAGAAATCGGGAATTTCGGTAAAAGACCACGAGGAAGACCGCAAATGCGCTGGAGCGATGATATTAAAAGAACTGCAGGACCGATGTGGAAACGTCTTACAAACAACTGATAAATGGCGAGAAATAGGAGAGGTCTATATTCGGCAATCCGAAGGAGAGCTTAAGGGAGAAGGGAATAAAAAAACTTTAAAAAAAAAAATTTTTAACTAGAAAGGTCCCTAAAGGAAGCAATACGTTTGTAAATTATACCACAGGTAAGCATGCTCTGACAAATGAACCGTTTGTGGAACTAATATTATGTTAAATACAGCTAAATAATTTGCTTCATTTTTCATTCTCGATTTGCTTGTATGTCTTAAAAACTTACTATAATATGCAATTTAAGCGACACTAGTCATACAACACGCAAAAACGAATAACACACAGACAAAACGTATACAGTTTTACATATTACTTACAATTATTCTTGGCAATGTAGTATCAACCACGTCCTCTTGTCTAGACACAACAATCTTTACTTTACTGCCTAGTGGTAAGCTTTTCAACAGAGCTACTGCTTCACTTTGTGTTTTACCGGTCATTTCTATGTTGTTGACTTCAAGAAGCCTATCTCCCGATTTTCAGCCTACCGTCTTCTATTGCTGGACCCTAAAAATATATTACATTTAGAATAAATATATAATTTCCAGAAGAAAAAGTACTTTATTTGATAAAAATTTAAATCTAAGTTAAGAATGGGTTGCAGCTTATAAAATACAGTTGAATTTTTTCTGCAATAGTTAACAGATGGTACGTGTATGTTTGTGAACAAATGATGGCAATGTTAGATAACAATGTAATCCTGTTAGAACATGTTCTGTGTCTTTATACTTCACGGACATGCTAATTGTTAGAATTGCCACTCTTAGTCTAGGGAAAGTTCTCACAGGATGAGGAATAACATATACAATATCCTGAAAAGGTTACTGTATGAACAGGAATTGTTGGAGACCATACCATAGGCGATAATTATTTATCACTTCTCCAAAATAATGTCATACCAACTTTGACAAACTTATATCCAGCAAATCCACATGTTAAAGCGAATATGATATAAAAAAAACAAAAAGAGAAATCAAACCATTTCTACCTGGCGAAATCGAATTCAAATCTTGACCACTGTGCTTTCTAAAACTTGCAAAGTAATTTCTGGTACTCCAAACTGAGTAAAGAAATAAAATATAAAGTACGATACTAGATTATTGTTTCAATACAGAGCGGCGGCAAGCCGCTTATATGCATTTTGACCTCTTTCGATCTCTTCAGAGCGGATTATTAACTATGAAATACTTTCAGTAAGATGGAGCAGCGGCGCATTATTGTTCAGCATTGCCTTAAATATTTCCAAATCGATGGATAGGGAGGCAAGTATCGATGGAATGTCCAGTACGATCTCCTGATCTGATGCCATTAGACTTCTTCTTATAGGTATACGTCAAAAATATTAAATACAAAACTAAACCCCTCAACTTAGCAGATTTAAGAAGAGAAATAAGGCTTGCGATTAAGATCGGTCAGGCCTGAGATGCTGAGTAAAGTGAGAAGAAATTTCTATTTAAGATAAGAATGTTGCCACGGCATTCGCGGAGAGCATTTTGAACATCTACATTCCAATTAATGTCTTTTTTGTTTTTTACATTATATTTTCCCAAATATTAAGTAAACAAGTTGAAAAGTCAGAGTTTTTAACGTCGATTTAATATACAGAGAAAATATATAATCTAATAGACAAACTATAATTTGTTAATTGTACTTAAAACTAAAGAAAGAAATGAAATCACTTAACTTACCATAGCATTGATATTCTTAATATAAATGGGACACTTTCCTCCTGCTGGATTGTCTCTGGTCGTTATGCTGAACCCGAGGCCGTGGTTTCCCTTAATCAGTTCTATCTCGATTTTCCTACCGATCTTCCTGGTGTTGGCTGTTAAAAGGCCTTTCAGATTTTTAGAAATAGCTGGAACCTTTTTTGTCGGAGATACTGTCGCCACTTTAGTATTTGTACTTTCTGTAAGGTGTCCTTTTATAAATACAATTAGAAAAGTTATTTAAATAATGAGATTTTGTAGATTATCTATATTTTTGTTCTTTTCGGCAATAAAATGAATACGAACTGGCTAATCTTGATGTCAAATATTGTTAGTTATTTAAAAGTGCCGATATTAAAAACATAGTTAATCTACATTTATCTCGCAGAAGATGATTTATTAAAAAGATCATGATATAGCGCTAGTGCATACGAAGAGTCTACTTTCAACGGGACAAGCGTTTAATTTTCAATAATGCAGGACTATTATTTCCAATTTTATGTCAAAGAAAACTATAATCTTTAATAAAGTGTCAGCGACAAGAATTACCTTTTGACGAATGGTAGGGAAATTAATCATTTTTGTTTGTGTGTCAATGAAAACTGATATAATTGAAAAATTGCCGACGAAAAGAATTATTATACTTTTTGATGGTATCTTAATTATGGATTTATGGTATGTGTTCTGAAACCAGAACGTATAGTGAGCCGCCATTACATCAACAGTTCAGTCTCAAACCATTGTTTAAAAAAAAAAATAATAAAAAAATTCGTAACAGTCTTCCAAAGAAACAAAAAAGTTATGGCAGTTCTCCAAAGGAACAGAAGAATCATTACAATCTTCTAAAGGAAAAAAAAATATTACAGTCCGTCGTCAATAATAAAAAATTCGTGATGTTGGATGTAACACATCCCAACAATAAAACAGTAGTAGTTAAACAGTAAACACTAGCAGACCAACTCAACATCGAGTTTTTAAATGAAACTTTTATTTTGCGAGAAAAATTAAGAGATCAATACAAACAATATAAGCAAGAATATACGTAACATTCATCAATAATAATGCAAGTAAAACGTGTATTAAATGTCACGAAATATTTCGTCGAAAACAATGTTTTTGTTACAATGTTAAATCCGGTGTCGGATCGCAACCGGAAGGACATATTTAGATTCGTCTCGACGAGACCTTTCGATGGATATATACATTGTGGGGTCTAAAACTTAAAGTAAATTTTAATCATCTCAAAACCGGAAGTGAATTTTTGTACCAAAAGTATATCTTGACAATCTCATACGTAATACTAATAATATTCCGAAAAAATATTTTAATTATCTAATATGGTTTTTGAGTAAAGTGGTGGACAAGAAAAGGGCTTAGCGTTTTAGTATATAAGATTTTTAAGCCGCCATTACATAAATCCATAATTAAGATAACATCGGGTCAATAAACATAGTGGTGGCAACTATTAAGCCTCCCGGTAAGGGTCTAAGATAAATATTTATTATTAGAAAATATATATAAGAGAAAAGGAATTTTTGGGCCTACATCGTCAAGAGACCACTAAAACAAAATTTTGTCCTGTCTGCAGGACGTTTAAGGAGATAAAGGGAAGATGAATTTCACGGAGTTTACGAATGCTTGGGTTTTGAGGCCAAGGTCGGAGATAGATGGCGTGAGCAATATTAATTTGAATATTTAGTAGGAATTATAATAAATTTTTAAATTTTTTAAAACGGTCATAACATAATGTCCTGTATGTAATTCTATGTCCCTGAAGAATGTAATTCCTAACGAAGAATGTAACTCTGAACGAGTGACTTCTATTTATGTGAACACGAAGACTAATTCTCATACTGCGCGAGGGCAAAAGAATAACTCTACAATCGGTGACAGCGAGAACAATCACTTCTGATTCTGTGACTGTAAAATCTGTAACTATAACAATGATCGGTAAAAAAGTAACTCTTCAATGTATTTTCTAAAAATCAGCGGCGCAAAAATAACGTCAATGCGCGATAGCGAAGAAACTCACTTGTAATAATATTCGTGAAAATTATCACCCTTAAAATAACCTTTAATTATGTTTCCAAGTGTGTTTTTGTTCCAAGCATTTCAGTATGTCACACTAAATTACTTATTAACGAAGTAATAAATAGTAAATATTTACAAACTATACTTACGTTTTTGTTCGCATTCTACCATCGAAACGTTTTCTTTGTCGTCGGGGTAACTTGGGTAAATCGGCGGGGGCGGTTTGCGAAGACCTTCGAGTCCAGACGTCTTTATTACTTTCAGTCTTAATTCAGGAGAAGTGAGCGAGAGTTTAAATAATTCTTGTACCCTGAAAACAAAAATAGAATAAGAAAAATCCTCTTGATTTCTGTCACTTTTCACTGTCAAATCAGTGTTGATCTCACATCTTTTTAATAGTATATAACACGGATGGCTAGCCCACGGCATACTATCATTGAGTGACACGACGGAATCTTAGAAGTGGTACGGGATGGAAAAATAAAAACTTTCATTCTTCTGCCAAACTCAGTAAAAGTTCGTCTTTTGTACTAAGCCGCTGGCTCGAGCTGTAAAGCAGCAGCTACAATCTTGACAGACACCTTATTATTGTAAGAAAAATCCACATCCCAACGGAGAGTAGATAATTAAAATAGTTTGCTAATATTCACACAAAATGTCGGTGATTCAAACACAAAACATATGCTGGACCAAAATGGATGTTAGATAGATCAGGATGTTGAAAAACAAATAATTGCCGGATTAGGAGACTGCAAATATTTTATACTGACTTTGGATGAAAACTGCAATCACAATAATGCGCAATTGAGCATTTGTATGTTTCGTAACAGATAGCTGGGACCTAGAGATCTGGCCTGTTCAATTCTGGGTAAAAAGTTCTGTTCAAAACATTATACGAAGAAACATTTTCAAACACCATTGTATAATCCATCACGAATCGTTAGGTGCTAAAAACCTCTTAGGTTTTAGGTGCGAAAAATCTATTCTCGATAATTGTGCCTGTAATGCGTTATTAATCAAAATTATGCTCAAACTCCCATTCGACGACGATTCTGAGAACTTTTTCAGAAAGAAAAGAATAGTGACAAATTGCTCCTTTATTGCAGTGTTCGGTGGTAGTTTTTGAAATTTGAAGAGTGTATTTTGTAATTTTTGGAGAAATTGCCAAACGAATGCTCTCTGTTTAAAAAATGAAGTCTGGAAAATAGTGATATGCTGTCAAGAAAGTTTGGCCACTTCTGGTATAAAGTATTTGCTCCGTGCGTGACTGACACGACACCTACCGCCTTTTTCTGACAATTTTGGAGTCCCAATTTTCAGGTTAAACATATGACATATGTTTGACATTGTTAAATACATGCGAAATTGACAATTATTAATAAATTAGTTTTTTAACTATATTTTTTCAGTTTATGTACAAAATAAATGTAGTATTAAAAACTGGGTTTCTCAAAATTCATCATAATATATCTTTTCAACTCCAAACGTAAGAGAAAGGGAAAAATCTAGTACTGACAAATCAAGTTTTTCACGCAAAAGAGCATATAATTAAAAACAATAATAGTAAAAGTTATGATATAAAAGCTAAAGTCATCTGCAGTTAGCTTGAAGCCTTATGAAATATCATTCAAGGTAAATTATTTAAATTTTTCCTATTTCAATTGCGTAAAAATGAAATTATGTGATATTTACTTTTTCATATTAATAGCAGGAATTTATCTTTTTCTTTTCTCTAATTTATATGTAATCTTTGGGAACCTATAAAAACTACACTCACTGTTTTTGCTATTATTAGCACAATTAAATACGCAACATGTATTTGCACACATTTTTGATAAAATTTATGCGTAAAAATATTTTGTCCAATATTCCAATTTTGTCATATTTCGCCGCTATGCACGCTGGCGTCGTTGCAATGTACCCCTACCACAGAATAATAAACAAATAGAATACCCACTCTCCACGGAAAATTAAGTACGCGCATCTCTTCCGCGCAGACGTTCCGCCATGTTTTAGGAGGATTTTAAAGAAATTAGTGTTGTTTATGTGGTGTGCATGGAAAAATTAACCAGGTTTATTTGACTTACGGCAATCATAGACATACTATACAATTATATTAACATTGCTAAATATAATAACATAAATATAATATAATTAAACATAAATATAAACAATTACATAACCACACAAATCATATGTCTGTGTCCTCCTAAAAAATGGCGCGCGTGCTGAAAAACTTCAAGGCGGCATCTGAGAGTGGCCCTTCTGATTGTTTATTATTCTGTGCCCCTACCATGGTCACGCACGGAGCGAATATAATGTTCTGTTCGCAGTAATTTCGTTAGTAAAAACATGTACCTTAAATATAATTCAATCATCTAAGAAAATTATTTCTTCTTGCAAGAATTTATTATTAGTTCGCTACACTTGAAATAAGAAAACAGTGACGGTGGTAAAGGTCTACAAACAGTTAACAAGGAAAAACTAAGGTTGTTTTCTCGACCTTTTTCAGCATCTATTAGCTTTAAACCTTTGAATAAAAAAAAGCTTACCTCTGGAATGGCATATTGATCAAGTTTTCTCCATTGATCTCCACCACTCTGTCATAAATAGCCAATCGTCCATCCCTATCGATTCTTCCTCCAGGTTCAATTCCCTTGACCAACAATCCTCTTTCTCTTCCCAAAGTATCATAATCTGGAATGACGTGAATGCCAAGGGGACCGGGTTCATTTCGTATCACAATAATTTCTTCGCCGTCGATCGTCGTAGAATTGTTAGCCTGTCCCAAAGGCTCTTTCCGTCTGGATTCTCGAGGAAGGGAACTCGTTATGTGTGGTCTGGAAGCAGCTGCTCGTTCTGCGGCCTCAGCCCAACGGTAACTAAAATAGTTAAGTAGTGTGAATTATGCCAAAGATAGATAGGATAACACATTAGTTAAATAGATAGGAAATTAAATAAAACTGTATCGAAAAAACAATTTAAAAAATGGTACTTACCCAGCACCGTCCACGCCCAAAAACTGCATCGACAGCCTATTGCTTCCGTCCCTCGCTATCCTTCTAAAACTATGATCCTCTTCCTCTTCCCTGGAGTCGTCCATCCAATCGGGACTTGCGTATCCTGAACTAGGCGGTTCCAGAATCAAGGGTGCGGCACTCCAACGTTTCGGATGATCCGAGGGTGCGGGAGGTCCAGTGGGTAGTTGGTTCAGACTTGGTTCACTCCCTCTTCGGACCTGAAGAACTGGTACTCCCGAGGCTATTTGTTCGCCTGTCACTTCTATGTCGGTGCGAGGGTAGTTTGGTCCGTATTTGTGTTCACCGTCCTGCAAAATCAACAAAGAAAGAATTTTTAAAACAATCATATAAGCTTCTAAAAAGAAATCCACATAATATGTATTTGGTCTTCAGAAATTATTGTATTAACAGCGTCTTAAAACGAAAGGTTAAATATTCAATATATTTTATTACTACTAGATATGTACTATAGCATGAAGATATTTTTGTTGTATATAATTCAAAATGCCCTCGAAGGCATTCTTCTGCAAAAAAGATAATAGTCCAACATGCTTTCTTTTGAAACCAGAAACCCAACAAACTAGCACATGAGAAGAAAATATTGATATAAGTAACATTTACATTTCCCTTCTTTTCCTTCCTAAAGTTATGTTTTGACGTTGGTTGAGTTAATTAATGCTTGCACAGGACTTTATTTACGACTAGGAGGATTTTCAGTCAGCAGCAAGTTCGGGTCTTTATTTCTATTATTTGAAGATTCATAGTTCGGTGTCCATATACCTGATTTTTATTTTGCCTTTTGAGATTTTTGTTGCCGAGGCTTATCTCGATTCTTTGAGCCTTGTTTTCTCTTACAATGGGTAGGATGCTAACCTGGCCCATGACACAAAAACAAGAATCTAAAAAGCAGCAATTAGACCTATATTAACATACATGGCGGAGACAAGACCTGACACATCTAAAACGAGACGACTAATAGAAATAACAGAGATGAAAATACTTCGACGAATGGCAGGGAAAAGTCTGTTGGATAGGGAGAGAAGCGAAAACAGCAAGAAAGCATGCAATATAGAAGACATAAATGGATATGTAACAAAACGGAAACAGGAGTGGAACGAACACATTAGTAAAATGGCAGAGGATAGGATAGTACGAACAGCACGAGATAAGTCACCAAATGGACGAAGAAGTATTACGCAGACTAAGAAAAATGTGATAATATAAACAATTTAGGAGGCTAATATTGAAGAAAAAACAGGCTTTAAAGCCTACATACAATAAGGAAGAAGAAGATTTTGTTATTTGGCATTTAGCTAGTTTATTATTGCTAGTGGAGGAATTCTATATATACTCACTTAGCACTAGATGATAATTGGCCTAGACAAATAAACAACGGAACACCCTTGGCCAAGGTTCGTTTTACGAATACACACTGAAGATCAACTCCACTGACAGTTTGTGTCGGTGGCTTGTCCAATAAACATAACCAGCAGCGATAATGGACATTCGATTATAGCAGACGATCCTACGCCACTCATTTTAGAAGGATGGATTGATGACTGATGGCCAACGTCTCTCAGTCACAGTAATTTTGCAATTTTTATAACGGAGTGTGCATTTTTTTATCTCCACACAAATATTATCGGCTGTATGTTTGTAATCTATTAATACAGCTATTGTTGTATTGAGTTTATATTGGACTAAAAGACAAATTTGTAGTTTTTGTGAATCGTTGTGAATGAACGAATTTAAGCTAAACTTCAGCCTAAACGTGTCTATAATTTAAATACTTAAAGATAGTTATAAAACTACATAATACATACATATTTAAGGTAAACGCTGTTTCTAAAAAATTAGTTAACCTTGATGAAACACAAACGATCTTGAATCTATGGACGATGTTTAGCATTAAATATAGTTGATAAAATCAAGATTTTTATGCACTACCTACTTGCCAACAGTAGAGAAAAGAAATATTGTTATTCTGTAATAGAAAATTGTTATTTCCTCTTACCCAACTAGAATATTTATCGTGCATTTAGTTATAATGCAAACTAGGTGTACTAAAATTTCTACTGTGTAGAATAATTAAAATCTCTATATAAACATTGGTAAAATAATAACAAACTTTTTGATAATTTTGATTCTCCCCATATACTAGGGCGGTCCGATAAATACTTAGCCTACAAAAAAAACGAAAATTTTGAAAAAGCGGCGATTTCTCAACACAGTCTACTTTTAGCTCGAGACATTTGGCCCAGCGATGCTCCAACTTCTTTAACCCTTCTGAAAAAATACGTTTCCTTGAGAGAGAATATGGCGGATGGGACAACAGTTCGTATCCCATTTCGATCAATTTCGCTATGACGACGGGGCAGATATGAGCGGGTCCATTTTGTCTGCAATTCGGCTATGTAATGGAGCCCTACGACCGTTTTGCCATCTCCAGGTAATTGACGTACATTACCCTTGTGAATCCCAGAAAATACTAGCCATCGCCTTTCCGGCCAATAAGATAGTCTTGGCCTCCTTCGGAGCACGTTCGTCGGGTGCTGCGGCTGTTTCGACTATTTCGTGGTCCCTGGATTCATGTTTCGTCAACGGTTACGAAACGACATAGAAATTCCTTCGGATTACGCTTAAATAGCATCAAACACTGCTCTGAAGTGGTCTCGCGGTTAAGCTTATTATCTAGAGTGAGCAAACGCGTCAATCATCGCGCCGAAAGCTTTCATATGCCCAAAATTTTACACAGGATATGATATACTCGGTCTTTTGAGATACCTACTGCCTCATCTAACTCGTGTACCTTCAGTCGTCGATCTGCCAATATGAAATCGTGGAGTTTTGTCACGTTATCCTATGTGGTAGCCGATTTCGGCGCACCTGGGGTGGCTTATCAAAAACTGACGTGCGACCATGTTAAAACTCAAACCAATTTTTGACGGTTGTCATCGAAGGAGAAGAGTCACCGTACACAACATCCAAGCTCTCTTTGATTTCGCTACGCGATTTCCCTTGCAAAAACATGATCAAATCACCGAGGTATTGCTCTTTTTAAAGAGATCTGGAAATGTTCCAAAATATATACTTCTCTAAGAAATTAAACGCACCACTTTGAAACATAAAATTTTTTTATTTACGTTAATAAAAAATTCCATTGTAATGTATTTTGAAAGCCCCTTGTATATGATATTCGTACACTCTATATTTATTGACTGTGTTTTATCGCTATAGTTTTTTTGCAACAAACCCAAAAGAAGCAAAAAATGTACTAATTCTATAAATATACTAATTTCCAAGTGTTCACGAATTTTATTCGGCTACTGTTTAATTGTTGATTTTTGTTAATTGTGTTTATTATGGAGCGTCAATCACGTAATTTAACCCGAGATGAATGTGCTCAAGCAGTGATACTGTCGGAAGAAGGTTGGAGTTACCGAAGAATTGGTCGTCGGTTTAATTGTCCCACACATCCGTCTCACGGGTGTTAAAAAGATTCTTTGAAACAGGGAATCATACTCGCAGACCAGAGCAAAGACGAAACCGGGTAACTACCCCTATTCAAGATCGATTTTTAAGATTTTCTGCTCTTCGACAACATTTTGTAACACATCGAATTCTACAAATTCAGCTTTGAGACGTGTATACTATACAAATTAGTACTGAAACTGTTTGCCAGCGACTTATTAAATACAACTTAACAGCTAAGCTTAAGAGCGACACCGATCTAACCAAACAACTTACAAGAAGTGGGAGAGAGGCTGATCCAGATTTGGGGAGAGGCTGATCCAGATTTGGAGAGAACTAGACCAAAATGAAATACGACAATTAATTTTAAGTATGGGCCATCGATGTTAGGCTGTTATACGTAGTAGAGGTGGAAACACTCGTTATTAAGACTTTTTTCATATTTTAGTTTACTTTTCTTATCATTATTTTTTTAGAATTTTCCGTTTTATTTTTTTTTTTCTCCTGTACTTCAACATTTTCTGATGATTAGACAAATTGTTATAATTACTAATAAAATGTAGAATAAATCTGGTGAAGTTTTATTTTTTATTTTGTGCCTGTTTACAAATAAAATTGATTAATTGAAGTGGTGCGTTAATTTCTTGGAGAAGTGTATATACGCGCAATTTAGATTTTAGTCTTATATACAAAATAAAATTTGTACGGTTAAGTAAATAAATGATATAAATTAATCGTGTTTTAGTTTTACTGTTAGAAGACTTTAAATAAATTAAAATAAACATTAAAGGAATTTATGGCGATTTTTTAAGATACTTCAGATTGTTATGACAGTCGTAATACAAATACGTGTACGATTTTAGTTTCTTTTGCTGTTTCAAAGTTGAGATTGTTGATTATCTCTATCATTCATCTTCCTCTAGCTCTCCTAATGCTTTGCTCTCTTTTTTCTCTCTCATTCGTTCACTAGCTCTCTCTCTCTCAACTCTATAATTCTACTATCTATCTATGAACACTTACTAAAATCGACTATTTGCAAAAAGGGATAGGAAAATTTGTAATTTGCCTTATAAAATTTTTTGATCTGTGATCTGTCAGATCTTCTAACTTCAGTTTAATACCATACGACATTTTGAAAATATGTATCACTTTAGAGCTAAGAGTAAATGAATAAATTGTAAATTTTAGAGTAAAACATCCTGGTAAAGTGTACCTCGTTACCTAAGGTAGTAAAGTGATTTTTTTAAATTCTTATGTACCTTTTTTTCTTGGGAATTTGTTATTTAGTTGGTTTTTGTTCTTCCTCTTTGCTTCAATTTATAATATTTTATCGTGGTTTTTGTTTTTTCTGTCACTTGTTCCTTTATAACTCATTTTGGCACAATTTATCCTTACAGTGCGTAAGTGTGTTTATTACATTCCTTGTATATTTCGTAGTTCACCAGCACATAAAAAGATCTTTTATTTAAAACACATGTAAAGTGTTTGTATACATGTTTTATTAGTAACGAATTCAATAATTTTTCTTTTTATTGTATCAAAAATACACTTTTATGCACAAATTTTTTTGTTATAAACTATTTATTGAGTAGTATAAACATTTTATCTCTTCGGTCAACGCAAATGTTAAGTGACTTTAAAGATACCAAAAGCAATAACCTTTTAATTATTAATTAGAGCGTAAATCATAAAACAAGTAATGGAAATGTTGATTAAACTTCAGGTATTAATATCTATTTTATGAATTAAATATCAACCTTGAAACAATTCGACGCATGGAAGTGTTTTTAAGATGTGCAAACATAAGGAATATAACCGTTTTAAAGGTCCAACATAT